CATTAAGTACAAGAAACATTTTATTCTCAACTACTGAATTGAAATTACCCGTTAGCTCACCTATTTCAGTAATGTTTTTACATGAATAACCGGCGAGAAGTTCAGAAATAATGTCTGTAAATCTGTTTTTACCTGTTCCCTGAAGTCCTTTCAAAATAATTGCTGTTTCATTCTTGATTCCAGGATGTTGAATCATTGATGCAATCCAGCCGAGAAGGTATTTATACACTTCATCGTTATTATCACAAATGGCTTCTTTAATGAAATTCATAAACATCTCAATTTTTGAGTAATCTGGTTTTTCGAGAACGTTGTATTTATAACCCTGAAACGTTGAGAAAACATCTGGAGAATCAGATTTAAAGCAAACACCCTTAACGGTTAATGAGGATAATTGATTTAGTAGTACGTCCCATGCTGTTATGGTTTTACCTTCTTCTTTAAATAATTTAATCATTTTGAGTGACTCTTTCATGTTTGATTGAAGAACGAATGATATTTGATTCATTTTGTCGTGGATATTATAGTCCTTTGAATGAAATATTTGTTTCCACAATCTACAAAACGGATTACACGTGATAAATCCTCAATTACTTCAGAACTGTTTTTATACTGATGATTTTCAGCCTTGCGTCTAATATCTGTTATCAAAAACGAGTCATCAAGTTTGATATCAAATGTTATTTTTGGCTTACGTAATAAAGGTAAAACGTATTCATCATAATATTCCTTTTGATATAGTTTTAGAATCTTCACCAAAACAAATGGAGAAGTCATTAAATGTGCATATCTACTACGTGCTTTTTCAAAATTACTTTTTGCATTTTCTGTTAAACTGCAGAAGTTATAAACGTTATCGTATGCTTCATTAATCAAATGATTAGGTAACGAATTAATAGCTTGAAACAGTGTGAATAATGTTATTTCTTTTTCTAAATTCATGTTTCCACCGTCATTATGTACTTCAAAATCACAGATGCCATCAACTATGCTCTGGGCAAGTTTATCGTCAATGTTTACATCTTTGTTTTCATTCATGATAGTCTTTATTTCTTCGTTCTTTTGTTCAACTCTTACCTTAATATTCAAATCATTCAATATATCATTCACTGTTCTAGTTAATGTTGAATCATAACTTCCACGAATGAATGAGTATGTATTGATTGGTTCTGTTGCATTCTTTCGAACTCTTGAATCAGCCATAACCACTAATGAACGTTTTGAATCATCAATAGAAGTCATGATATCAATATCATAATCATTGCAAGAATAGCATTTAATCATTCTGTTCGAAACTGCATAGAAGAAATTAGTGTTGCAATAAATGTGAAGACCTCCTGAAGCGGTTTTAACGATAACATCTTTATCCGAAAGTTTTGATAGAATGTCTTTTCTAACTGTTTCTTTAAATTCATCATTGTATGATTTATTGATATCGACATCTATAATCGTTAAATTTTGAATTTTATTTACTAATAAAGCCATACCAGTTTTCCTTCCTCTTCCTCCATCATGTTTGAGGTAGTTGTGTAAATCAATCTTGTTTTCACCAATTCTTTCGTTGAGGGTTTTAGTTTCTGCCACAACTAATTCCTCAACTAATGAATCAATAACTTTTTCATCAGAAACGATATAGTTGCTGTTGTTGTTTGTTGCTGTCATTTATATAGGAATAAAAAAATAAAAATAATTTTAAAACTAACTTTATTTTTGGACTGCATCATATTTCCTATGATGTTGTCAAAATGTCATGTTGTCTCATTTTTTCAGAGAAGTTAATTAACCTGGTGACATGGTGACGTGGTGACACCTTCAGTTCTTCAAAAATAATTAATTATTGAATAACCTGAAACCATTAACGTAAACATTAACGATAAAATATATTTCCTATGATGTTGTCAAAATGTCATGTTGTCTCATTTTTCAGAGAAGTTAATTAACCTGGTGACATGGTGACGTGGTGACACCCTCAGTTCTTCAAAAATAATTAATTATTGAATAACCTGAAACCATTAACGTAAACATTAACGATAAAATATATTTCCTATGATGTTGTCAAAATGTCATGTTGTCTCATTTTTTCAGAGAAGTTAATTAACCTGGTGACATGGTGACGTGGTGACACCCTCAGTTCTTCAAAAATAATTAATTATTGAATAACCTGAAACCATTAACGTAAACATTAACGATAAAATATATTTCCTATGATGTTGTCAAAATGTCATGTTGTCTCATTTTTTCAGAGAAGTTAATTAACCTGGTGACATGGTGACGTGGTGACACCCTCAGTTCTTCAAAAATAATTAATTATTGAATAACCTGAAACCATTAACGTAAACATTAACGATAAAATATATTTCCTATGATGTTGTCAAAATGTCATGTTGTCTCATTTTTTCAGAGAAGTTAATTAACCTGGTGACATGGTGACGTGGTGACACCCTCAGTTCTTCAAAAATAATTAATTATTGAATAACCTGAAACCATTAACGTAAACATTAACGATAAAATATATTTCCTATGATGTTGTCAAAATGTCATGTTGTCTCATTTTTTCAGAGAAGTTAATTAACCTGGTGACATGGTGACGTGGTGACACCCTCAGTTCTTCAAAAATAATTAATTATTGAATAACCTGAAACCATTAACGTAAACATTAACGATAAAATATATTTCCTATGATGTTGTCAAAATGTCATGTTGTCTCATTTTTTCAGAGAAGTTAATTAACCTGGTGACATGGTGACGTGGTGACACCCAGTTCTTCAAAAATATTAATTATTGAATAACCTGAAACCATTAACGTAAACATTAACGATAAAATATATTCCTATGATGTTGTCAAAATGTCATGTTGTCTCATTTTTTCAGAGAAGTTAATTAACCTGGTGACATGGTGACGTGGTGACACCCTCAGTTCTTCAAAAATAATTAATTATTGAATAACCTGAAACCATTAACGTAAACATTAACGATAAAATATATTTCCTATGATGTTGTCAAAATGTCATGTTGTCTCATTTTTTCAGAGAAGTTAATTAACCTGGTGACATGGTGACGTGGTGACACTGAAAAAATTAAATTTGGATTGAGTTTAAAAATTCATCTTTATTAAATTCATCTCTTCCAACCAATTTATTTATTCTATTAAATTCTTTTATTTTTGCTTCACTCAGTTTAATGATTGAACGATAAGTTTCTAATTTTTCGATTATTTCTTTCCTCTCTTTATCGTTTTCAACCCCACCACATTGCGGCTTCTTTTTGTAATAGCATATTTTTGATTTAATTCTGTTTAGTTTCTTTTTATATTCATTGTCTGGACTCTTGGCTGCTTCGTTGTCACCCATTTCTTACGAAATAAAAAAATTAAATATTATTTAAATATAATGGAGTAATAAAATAAATCGGAATTTCTATTAATTTATTGTTAACCTCAACTAATACATTACCGTTAATATATCTAACAAATTCAGCTATTGTGTCAAATCTTCGTTTTCTTTTTGTCATTGATTTATCAGTTTTTCCATAATCGAGATGAATCAAAACTTTATTCCCTTGTTTAAAATTCATGAGCCCCGAATTAATTTGTTCACGTTTAACATCATTTAACCTTTCCATTTGCTTTCTAATATATTCCCATTCTTTTGAAATATCATTTTTCATTTCCACTGTTTCATGTTTATGGTTCTATGCCATGTATTATTGTAATAATATACTAACTGTTGTATGATGGAGTCATGATTTCCATCCCAGTATATCTGACCGTTAACCCCTAACACATCTCTAAGAGTTCTCATTACCGCATCAACTATTTTATTATGAAACGTATATGGAGAGGATGAAAGTAAAAATTAATTTGTGGGAAATAATGAGCCATAGCTGCCTGAAATCCTTTATCACCATCACCCCTTATATTATCTACTCTTTCATGATCTAGTAAGTATTGTATAGCTCTTCTTGTTTCCTGTTCTGTTTTCCCTTTCACCGGAATGCAATATAAATATTAGTGTTAATGTTAATGGCAAATAAATAAGTAACGTTTCCTTTTGAATATTCTAAATGATCGATTTCGTATGAATATGGATATGGTGCAAATGAAGGGCGACTAAATTTTTCCTTTAACGGTTGAATTTTTGGGTCAATTGGTTTATTTAATATCTTGAAATCCTTTTTAAAATCTTTTTGCTTCTTTAATGTTTGAAATGGATATAATAAAGTGAATGATGAAGGATTAACTGAAGGAGGAGGTACTGTTGTTGGAGGTTTTGGTGTTGCAAGTGGTTTAATTTTATCTGCTTTGATTTTGGATGATGAAGTTTTGGAATTCATTCCCCCCTTCATTAATTCTGGATGTATTCTATTCATTTGTTTTAAATATGCTGTATATAAAGGTTTGATATACTTTCCCACTTCGAGTTTATGTTGAAGGATGAATTCCAAAAGTTGATCTTCATTTAAAAGTCGGGCTGAATATGGTTTAACTAATGAATCATAAATTAAAGCTTGTGCATCATTTATGGTCTGAAGGACCTGGGCGTTTTGCACCCTTTGTTTTTGTTCCTTTGGCTTTTGCGGCTCAGGATTATATAAATTATATAATTCATCAATATCTTCTTTTGTTAATACTTTATTTTTGAAATCTTTCAATTGTTTAAGTTGTGATTTAGTTTTTCCCTTTGTATATTCATTATTTTTAATTTTGTCTTTAATTTTAGAAATTATTTTATCATGATATTTCAAAATTTCATTTTTATAATACGGATAATAATATTCCATATCATCACCCATTATATTGTTATTATGTTTTTGGAGATATGCTTTTAAATCATAATAATCAAGAAAATTTTGATTAAATACTAAATCATCAATCAAAATTTTTAAATCTACACTATCCATTTATATAAAAATAAAATAAATGTTTTAGGGCCCCCACCTCTTTGAATCATAGTATCAAAACCATTATTTACGGTTCCTTTTGTCTCTTCTGTGGCATTTTATTAAATAAATGGCATACAACATCCATTTTCACAACATACAGCCTTAGTGTGTGCTCCTGTTAATGCAGTCTTACCGATTGTTAAGCGAGTCATTGACCTGTTTTTAAGTTGTAAATTAATATTCTGACCATCAAATATCACTTTATCATTTATTATATCCAAATAATTTTTAGGTGTTAATTGTCTATTTTGTCGTAAACTAACACCTTTCATTTTTTGTGCAATCTTTTTAAAATCACTTCCATCAATTGAACCGTTGAATGATGTATAACACTTAGGGCATAAAGCAACCATGTTATCACCTTGTTTCTCAATTGCTAAACCCAATAACTTCTTCTCATGTGCTTTTTCTTCAGCTTTATTCTTTAATTTAGGTTTAAATTTTTCATCAAAACAGAAGAAATCAAATGGTGCGAATTTGAAAATGTTTTTATCATAAAACTGTTTATCGGTAACAATTGCTTGAAATGCTTGAGTGTTAGGAAGATTTGGATCGCCAGCGATTGCCCAATAAGATGAATCAGTATCACCTTCAATGAAATGAAAACGATTAACATTCATGCATTTATACATAAAATCATAAATGAAAACCAAATACCAGTATTTAGCATTATCTAAAGTGAAGAATACCTCTTGTAAACATGTATCACATCTATAAAATCTATCTTTGAGCATCAGTTGATACGTATCCTCTCCTATTTCTCTTATGTTTTTAAACTTATTTGACATACATGCAACACGTGCCTTCTGTGCATTCATTATTTTAGTCTTTGCGTAATTTTGTGTATTCATTGCATCGTAACCATATGATCCATTAAGCGAAATCTTGCAAAATAAACTTTTTCCTTTATTTCCTTCTAATTCAGCCTTTTGTCTTTCGTTCATAAATTCGTTCGCAAATTCATTAAAACAAGTGTTTTTAGTAAATGTTAAAATTGATTGAATATCATCGATGATAAAATGAAATCTGTCTATTAGATACCAAAGATAATAAGAAGAAAATGGTTGATATTGGTTGTGTGTTGATGCTAACTGAGTTAATTTCCTCTGTTTCTGGTCAACTGGTAGATTGTTTGATTTCATGTAATTATACATAAAACTGCCAATTGTTTTTTCATCTGTGATAATATCTAAGTTTCTTATTATCGGTAAAAAGTTTATGTAATCATTAATGTATTTTTCATCAATGTGACCCTTTACTTCAGCCACGAATAAAGTATTTTTCTTCTTAATTATTCCCAGTGCTTTTGCTTTCTTTGTTGCTGTATCACAAATGATAACACCATTCAATCTTCTCGGCATATACATTTTATGGTCAGTATATTGAATGAAATCATGAGGATTAGATGAAAATGATGAAGGATATAATGAATTAAAATCAACACCAACGAAATGAGTCATAATGTTGGTGGTGTCCTCATTTGATACAGTTTTAGTTTCTGGACTATATGAAAGTTTATTAATGTGCGTGATTCCTTTAAGATTAACACGATGTTGAACATTTGATAGACCACCAGTAATTCCATTACGGAGAATGTGATAAGCTTCAACTGAATCTAAAGTCATTGGTAAATTATTTTTTAATGCATAATTTCTTAAATTGATTCTTAAACGTTGAACATCTTCATCTTTATTTGATTTTACGACATTGCAATAACAACACATTAACTGACAATTTTCTTTGGTATGTGGTTTTTCATTATCGATTCTATCCAATGTTGGTTTATTTGCATATGTAAACGCTTTACCACACATTTTGCATTTAGATGAAAGGATTAAATCGTGATAGTATTGAAAATCATCCATTGAAACATTATTTTTAGTATCTCTTTCTGCTTTTTCATCTTGTTTCTTATATGATTCAATTTTATATTTCCAATACTTTTTCGTTAATTCAAAACTTGATTCTATCTCTTCCTCAGGATATTTTTCATTAGGATTAAAGTCTTTATATGCTAAAGCGTAACGAATCATTGAAGCATTCGATGATAAAGAAAGATTATGAAGCATATCAATTTTATAAACAAATGTTTCTTCAATAATTTTATCGATTGGGTCAATCATAATTTCAACATCTTTATTGCAATAATGAATAAAATATTCTAATCTATTCTTAAAATTTTTAGCATCATTGAGATATATTTGATAATCACTATCTGATATAGTTTCTTGAGTTAATGCTGAATAAAATAAATCTTGAGTGAATGGTTCCACTTTATATAATTCTTCTTCGTAATTTTCCCACGTGATGAATTGATAAGGGAAAAAGGATTTAACACGTGATTTATTGTTTCCGAAATCTTGAGTGAATTGGTCTAATGTCCCACCCGCTATATAATTTCTGATGTCAATAAATCTCAATTCATATGGAACGTTTGTTTTCTTTACAATGATTTGCTTAAATTGTGAAGATGAACCCAGCATTGATTTTATTTTCCATTTTGCAGTGTTTAAATCACGAAGAATTAAATTTAAATCAAACTTTCCCGAATTAAAACCTATGATATTCACTTTATTGAATTCCTCATCTAGAAGTTCTTTAAATGCTTCCTTCTGTTTTTCATTTAATGTATGAGACAAAGTCCCCACCAATTGCGGCTTCAATAATTCATTGTATTGACTCATATTTGATTCAACAACTAATGAACAGGTTGAAAATAAAAACTCAATCCAATCAGAAATAAAAGAATCACTCGAAGTTAAGCAAAAATTCCTCGTATATGTTTTATCGTTTAATTTAACCGTTGATGATACCATGAATGGTTTTAAGTAAGCGTTCAAAGTTGCACACTCAGAAAGTTGTAATTCTTCTTTAGTCTCTAATGTTTCGAAGTCAAAAGTAATATAATATCTTGTTGGTTTATAATATTCCTGCAAATTGTGAGCTAATAACCACTGATATATCTTCTGTTTCGTAATATGTGGTGCATATGGTTGCTGTGTCTTTTGCAACTGAACGTCTTGAATTAATCTTCCATTATTTTCTTTACATTTCTCACAATGCTTTAAAAATCTTCTTTGGTTTTTCCTTTCTGGATCATCGCGGATAGAATAAACTTCTTCTTTACAAAATGGACAAACTTTATAGCCGGTGAGTGCTTCAACGTCTGTTATTCTGTCAGCGTGAAGTTTTCCACATGGACTCTGTGTTAATAAAATATTTACTGTTTCAAATTTTGGATCTATCATTATTGATTCCACTAATGGAAAGTCTACCTTATTTATGTCCACGTCTTCTGGTTGAGGATCACAATAATAGAAATCAATATTAACATTTAACATTCTCGCTAATCTCTCACTTTCTGATGAAATGTCAAACCCTTCATATGCATCTATTGCTTCATTTAAATAGCTTCTACGAGTTTTAGGATTAACACCATCAGGAATGTTATAGAAGCGTTTAAATAACCTTCTACCTTCTGCTCTAATTTGATTATCATTCATTTTAGCTGTTCCGTTTTTGTTCATTTATGTAAGAAAAAAATTAAAAAATAAATAAAAATAAAGTTTATTTTTTAAAGCCCATAAAATGAATTAAGAACACATAAATTTTTATCATCTGCGACGTGACGAATACATTTTAATTTACTCAAGAATGCGTACCCTGATACATTAAATCTAATTCCTGTCTTATTTAATTTCACAACTTTGAAAAGGAATGTATGAATAGCTATAAAATGATGAGAAGATGTTTTATGGGTTGCTTCCATTTTTTCTGAAATAAATGAATAAATATAATGCTTATACGTTTTCATATCTTTTATATTCTTAATAACGAATGGTATAGACCTTTCAACTTCGTCTTCCTTCGGTGCTGTTCTTTCATATGAAACATTATTGGTATCTTCAACAATGAAACCGCAATTACATAAAATTTTATATGTTCCAATGGTTTCTTTTGATATTTTATCTAATAAATCAAAAACTTTATCAACACCTGTGCATTTATTTAAATAATAATTTGTGTAAATATCATGATCTTCTTTCTTAATCGTATTAGTTGCATACGTCACGTTTTTAAGAGCTTTTTTGAATTTCTCAGAATCTAAAGGTGGTGAAAGTAGGATACAGGGGTATCCTTCATTATCAATAAATTGTAACTTATGTTTACGAATAAATTTAGTACCTTCTTCTGAAAGTGTTTCGTCTATTTCACCATCTAATAAATTTTGTGTTGATTCTGAGACATAATTTTTATATCTTTCTTCATGAGATTTCTGTACTTCTGATTCTGAAGCTGGGATATTCATTAAACCCTCTACTTCATTTTCATTATATTTTTCAACTTCTCTTAATTCCTTAATTTTTTCATCTATTTCATCTCTTATTTTTTCCAGTCTTTCAATTTCATCGTATTCATCATCTTTAATTCGTTCTTCATAATATTTGGGGAAAACATCAGGTTCTTTAGGTTTTTCTTCTTCAGATGTGGGATATAAGAAATTTATAACATCATCTTTATTCATTTTTCCATCATAATCAAACTCATTTAAAAACTCCGCGAATTTTTGACAATTTCTTAAATAATATTTATCAACCTCATAACCCGCCTCCTCTAATATATCCTTTATTTCCCTGTTTGTGAATCCTAATTTTTTAACGTCGTTAGTCTTGACACTCATTTCTTACGAATTAAAAAATAAATTATTCAAAAATGTAAGACATGAATTTTTAAAGTTTATTTTTCATTCATGAAAATAATTATTTCTAATTTCTTTTACTCTCTCGTACATACTAGATTTAAAGAATTCAGAACATTTCCCATAATCTCCTAAATGTTTTCTTATCCCTAACGTGTGCCAGTTATTATATGAAACTGAATAAACTTTATCTTTATCTTTACACCTTTCATCACTTCCAATATATTTATATCTCAGTTTTGATTTAGCATTTTCATATTCATTAACGTTTAATAATTCACAGTCTTCCTTTTTAAATAAATGTTTTATGTATTCAGGATTTAATACTCTACGTTTATATGCTCCTAACTTAGTTCTAAAGGTTTTTCTACAAAATTTAGGAATTCCATCCTCTTTAATGTCATCAATGATTTCCATTTCATTATTTTCAATTTCTTCTTCTCGTTTATGAGGTCTTTGATTATGACTCCATTGATTCCATGAAATTAAATATTCTTTATCATTATATTTATACATCATTAGCTTGTTTTGGCTTTCATATTCATTTAATAATTCACAATCTTCATTTTTAAATTGAAGTTTAACCCATTCAGGATTTAAACAATGTTTAATTAATCGCGGAATATCTGACATCATCTATATATAGCTTCTTTTATAAAAGATAAAAAATAAATTATTTTAAAATTAATGTTAATTTTTTAATGATTTATAAATAAATATATTTTAATGCATCGTCTATATATAGATGTAACAAAAAAAGTCACACAACCCTTCATATACTACTACTTTCACAAAATCTTAGTTAAGATTGTGATATCAAATAAAATATTCGTTTCTTGAAGACTTAACCCTGCTGAGACCTTAAATTTGAAATTTTGATCCTATTATATTAAGGATTCCGGATGGCTAAAAAGTGACAGATGGCTAAAGGATTCCAAGAAAGGAATTTGGCTAAGCTATATTTTTTTTAAGTCGAACATCGTGACATCATAATTACTCGGAAACTAAAGCGTAATATTTAATCTCAATGAAAATCTCTCAGTTGATAGATAATCAACTTATCTGTTTCACTAAACTTCGCTCTATATGCATTTTTAAACTACTCAGCAAAACGATTACGATTAACTAGAATAAAATACATCTAATTTCTCATTTTTGACCATCTAATAAATTAAATCTCGGAAAAACTTTGCTCGTCGTGAACTATTACGTAAGTTTTTGTTATCACGTATATCTAATACACTTGACAGGATGTTCTTTTTGTACCTCGCAAAATAATTCAGAGATTCCAGAATAAAATTCCTTATATTTACAGATTATCGCATACCAATCTCACATTCATCCATATATTACGGTCACTTATCTCAAATGAGAATTTCACCTCTGAGATCAGACCTGAATTTATTGGTATTTATCAAAACGTTTGAAATCCGAATCAAGAATTAGAAGCAACATTTCGTAAACCTAAATGTCGATTGAATGTTTTGTCTATTTATTCTGTAATAAACAGAAATTCATCAAAAGTGACAGCTCTCAATTTTTTGACATTTGTAAATTCTAAATTGAATGAGAAAAATGAAATAATACTAAGCATAATACAATATTCTAGATTTAATTATAATTAGGAAAAAGTTAGTTTTGAGAGTACTTTTCATAGGCATATAGAATGAAATCTTCTGAAAAATAATATCACATAAACTCATATTATTTTCTAATATATAACTATTTTATATAAAAATCAAATTCAATGATCTTAAAAGCGAAGGATAAACCTCAAAATTTACGAATATAATGAGTGGGAATATAATGCTTATCTATCATAAAACCATATGAAATATCAATTTTTGCTTTACGCCTAATTTTTGACGACAATTAGCAAAAAATGTTAAATGTTAACACTCAGTCCATTTGAATATGAAAAATAAAATTGACTTTGATTAAATGTTTTTATTTATCATGCAATTCTTCTTGCGACCAAAGATTTGAATAAAAGTTCAAAAAATAAGATAACTTAAAAAATAATATACGGTAGTGTTTACTAATAGATGAATAGTATATAAATTCTATTAAAATGGATTTGATCCAAAAAAATATAAAACCAAAAATAATTGTTATAATTTAAATGAAGAAGTAATTTAAAACGATTTTATTTATGATCAAATTTTATATATTTTACTTCCACATATTCGTCTAGTCCATACAAAGGATCGAATAATTTCATTGTGAATACTCAATGTCATATGTGGAATCACAACCACTGTCTCAAATTATATTCATGTGCTTCTCAATACTTCGGTATAAGTTTATTTGTATCATTTTTTTCTATCATCCTTTTTGATATTTAAGAGAATAAAACACTAAACTTCGTTAGTTTCATTATTAATGGAGAATCAGCACTACAAAAACATGTAAACGTTGATAACT